TGCCAGCAAAGGAGAGAAGGGGGCCAACCCGTGGCCTTGCGGTTAAGGTTGCTGGATCCTGCATAGCCAGCTGCACTGTTCTAATCCTGGACCTGGTGGCTTGAAAATCATGTAGGATGAGTGCATGCATGCCTGAAATCGTGAGAGAAGAATGGAGGAGAAAGGGTTACAGCGTGGCCATCCCTCCCGGGGGGTGGGGGGCAAGAAGGGAGGTGATTTCTAATTTTCTCTCTGTCTCTCTCAGGTGAACACACATGCCCTATAGCAAAAAAACTAATAAAAAGAGAAAGAATGGTTAGGAAGATAGAGAGAAATAACATCTTGGCATTATGCTAACCAATGTTAGGTGTAATAGAGAACTTAAGTGAAATAACTCAAATGCCTACCTTGGTTTTGGAAATCAAAAGGCTGTTGGTGGCTTTAGCAAGAGCAGTTTGAGTAAAATCATAAGCCAGATTGTAGTAGGCCAAATGGATGTCTGTTAAGAAAGTAAAGACGGGCCACCTGTGGTGGTATAGTAGTAACCCAACTCTCTGAGGTGCTGAGGCCATATGGGAAAGACCTGGTTTGTGTCAGGTCTCCCTGTACATACCAGGCATGACTGTACCTGTGTAGGTACCCATGAGGGTAGGGGGTGGATCATAGTATGAAGACTCTGTTAGGGGTCAGTTCTTTCCCACCTCTTTCTCTGTCTCTAGGAAGAAATAAATAAACTAAAAAAATGTAAGACAGAGAGAGTAAACTACTGTTTGTGGAGATGGGAGAGATATGGTGCTTTACAAAATAAAAACCTAGTTTGGTGTACAACTTAATTACTGAAATGTTTTTACTTGCACTTCTCAGTTCATCCCACGCAATATTAAGATTCAAGTCAGAGTTAAACAAAAGTAATTTTTGGAGGGGCCAGCAGGTGACATGATGGTTAAGGCACTAGTTTCCCACTTGGCCAATCATAGTTTGCAGTCCAGAACCTGGCAGCTTGCACACTCTCCCTCTTGTTTCTCTCTCTCCAGTGATCATGTGTGCCCTATAGCAAAATTTTTTTAAAATTATAGTGATTTTTAAAGGTAAATAATTATTTTTTAAAGCAATTTTTACTCTATTAGAGACATTCTTTAGTGAAACTATTATTTTTTTTTTTTTAACCTTAAGTCTGTGTGGCAATGAAATACAGTTTGGTTCAATTGCTGAATCTTACTAAAGCCCAGCAGTTTTTCCCACCAAATGTGTTTTGCTCAATCAGTCCAAATGTCAAAACAGTGTAAAAGGCAAATGATCTTAGTATTATTAGCGGAAAAAATGTTTTTTTTAATTTGCCAAAGGCACATGTGCTCATAAGAGAGAGACACAGAAGAGGGAGAAAGCCCCTCCCAATAGGACAGGTCATGCTGCAGTTCTTTCTTTGTCCATCCTGTTGGGATTTGAGGCACATACATGCACCCAATATGTTTTTCAAGTCCTTGGGCCAGAATATAAAGCATGATCAGCCAAGTGGGATCTGGTTCCTTTAACTCCTTGGCCACAGGTCGCTCCCTATGAAATTATTTTTGTCCTTTTGTGGACTCCTTAAAGAGACTAAGGAACTCTCAGGGGTTCACAGGTCATACATTGAGAATTACTGTTCTTATATAAGGGAAACATTAGGGTCTAGAAATAGAACAGAAAATATGGTTGGGAAAAGAACTATCTTTGGATCTGGGAACTGATCTGGAAAAAATGTTATTTTCTTTTAAAACCTATCTGGATTTATGACTTACATATGGTGGGTACTTAAAAAGGCAGAAAGAAAGAGGTACAGCCACCAAACAAGACCAGGACTAATCTACCTGGTGGTTTAAAATCAGGATTTAGGGCCAGTCAGTGGCATGATGGTTAAAGCAGTTGAATCCCCACGTGGCTAAGGGGTTCAAGTCCTGGACCTGGCAGCTTGAAAAGCACTCAGAGTGCATGTCAATGCCCAGAATTGAGAGGAGAAGATGAAGAAGGGATTTCAGCATGGCCATCCCCTGGGGGGGGGGGGAGGACGACACTTTCTCACTTTTTTTCTCTTTCTAATGAGCGCATACACCCTATAGAAAAATAAAAATGCAAATAAATAAAGCTTGGATTTGTCAGAACTTGAATATTTTGACATGTTAGTAGTTCAGGAGTCCTTTCATAAGGTGTATTTGTGGACTAGAGGATTAAGAAGACCAAGTAGAAAGTAAAACTACTAGAGGGAGACAGAAGGTAGGGAAAAAGCAGTCAAATTGAGCCTACATCAAATATCTTAAAACATAGGAAGAAAATTATTTTTGACCTAAAAGATTAAAGTATATTAGTTGCAACAAATACTATCAGTTTTCCATGAAGTGACAAGCTAGCCATATCAACCATCAGGATATTGATTTACTTTAAAGGACATGAAAGTAGTAGAACAATTTAAAAATGGTTTTTAAAATAAATATATTTACATTCCTTGGAGATTCATAGTTCCATGCTTAGCTAACAAGTGTTTAAGAATTAAGGTAACAGGGCCATCTGGTGGAGTGGTGGTTAAGGTGCTAGACGGCCATATGGCTGACCATGGTTTAAATGAAAATCATGCTAGATACATGTGTGTGTGTGCCCAAAATCCTGAGAGGATACTGGAGAAAAAGGGATTATACCATGGTCATCCCTCTGGGGGGATGATTTCTCACTTTTCTTCTTGTTAAAGCACAGGTATACTGTGGCAAAAATCTAAACAATGGTGACAAATAGGTGTTTTCAATGTACAGTGACTAAGAGTTAGCAAAAACAGAACTCTAAAGTTTACTTCTCGTGATCTAAATTCTTTAGGGTTATGGAACTGTAGAAATAAGCTGTTTATAACTTTCTATGGCTGTTCTTTATTTGCAGAGGGAGAGTAAAGTGTAGAACTAAAACACTTTATACTGACTTTATTGTACTTTGGACACTGGGAATAATTGAAATATTAGCATCAGTAACAAAATACTTTAGAAATGAATATCATTTACTAATGATAACACTTCAGACTTTGCTTCATTAAAATCAGTACTTTGGAGACCAGCAGTTGGCATAATGACTACGTCGCTGGACTACCATGTAGTCAACCGTGGTTCAAGTTCCAGACCTGGTGGCTTATACACACCGGGCACGTGTGCATGTGTGCCCAAGATCCTGAGAGGAGAATGGAAGACAAGGGATTGTGGCGTGGCCATCCCCCCAGGGGATGATTCCCCCAGGGGAAATCACCCCAGGGGGGTGATTTCTCACTTTCTGTCTCTGTCTTATGGAGAGTGCACGCACCCTATAATTAAAAAAATAAAAAGCCTTTAAAAAAAAATATCAAGACTCTGAGCTAAGTAATACACACTGGTAGACTGCTGCTCTGCAGGTTCAATTCCAGGCCTACCCTAAAAGATGGACATAGTGTGGCATGTCTGAAAGCCCAGCTACTTGAGAGGCTAAGGCAGGAGAATTGCAAGATAGACACTGTTTTTTGTTTTAAATTAATGCCTTGGTTCTGGGTGTTTACTCTTGAGTGTAAAGATAATAACATGATCGTTCTTTTTTGTTTTTGTTTTTGTTTTTTGAGCAATTTTTGCTATTGAGCATGTGCGTTTGCTGGAGAGACAGAGACCGAAAACGAGAAATCACTCCTCCCCCAGGGGAGATGGCTACATCATAATCCCTTCTCCATTCCCTTCTTAGCATTTTGGACACGTATGCATACGCACCAGCATGAGTTTTAAGTGAGTTTTAGGCCATCGAGTTTTAAGCCTCCAGGTCCTGCGCTCCTGGGCTTGAGTCCAGCAATATAACCCTTATGCCATCTGCTGGTCCTGCATAATTGTTCTCTTTATGTACCAATGATGGCCATTTGATTTACTAAAAACAACATACATTTGGCTTTGCATATAAATCATAATATACATTTGTGATCGATGGAAATTTAAGAACGAGGCTTCATATAGATGAAACAAATATTAAGGCTCTAACAACTAGAAATATGTAAACAGCATCCATAAATTGGATAAATTAGTTTTCCCCAATAGAACACTCAGAATGATCAGGGTCTAGAATGGGAGTTAGGATTATGACTAGTGGTGTGATAAGTAATGAAATGAAAATTCCAGAGGTGGGCCAGCCAAGTGGCTTACTGGTTAAGGCAGTTGGATCCCAAATGACCAGTGGCATAGTTTGAATCTTCTGCTTGGCAGCTTGAGAAACACACCAAGCACCTGAGCACCTGCATGTGAATTATCAAAATCCCAAAAAGAGGGAGAGGTAGAGCAGGTCCAGTGGTGTGACTCTCTCCCATAGTGTTGCTTTCCCCCTTTCCCTGCCTGTCTCTGGCAAGAGCAAGCACCTTCTGCAAATTTTAAAAAAGGAAAAAAAAAAAGAAGAAGAAGAAAAAACAGAGGTCTCCAAACTTTGGGGTTTTTTTATGGATTTGTTTTTCAGAATTTTTCTACTTTATTATTATGTATTTTTAATAATGATTTAATTAAAATTAAATAAGTAATTTGTTATTATTTTTTAATTTGTCCAGAGAGAGAAAAGGAAAGTGAGAAAGTAAGCCACCAAGTCCTAGATTTGAACCATGGTTGGCCATGTGGGAGTTCAGCACCTTATGCACCATACCACCTGCTGTTCCCTATTATATTTGTTTTGAAAGAATTATTTTTATTATTTTAAATTCTGTTTATTTATTTTGACCATAAAGGGACAGAGAGAGAGAGAAAGTGAGAAAACAAGCCACCAGGTCCAAGACGAAAACCATGGTTAGCCGTATGGGAGTCTAGCACCCTTAACCACCATGCCACCTGCTGGCCCCAGCTACTATATTTTTAAAAGAATTATTTAATTTTACCTTTTAAATGAGAAGAGATGGGGAAGGGGAGATAGAGCAGTCAAGAGTGAGAGCGAGCCGCCAGGTCTGTGACTTACACCATGGCCGGCCATGTGGGAATCCAGCACCTTAACCACCATGCCACCTGCTGGCCCCTTATTATTATTTTTTATTTGCTGTAGGGTATGTGCACTCACGAGAGAGAGAGAAAGCAAGCTACCAGGTCCAGGACTCCCAATTGTGACTGGCCGTGTGGGAGTCAAGCGCCTTAACCACCACACCGCCTGCTGGCCCTCATCTCCAGATTTGTTTTCAAAAAAATTTGCCAGAGGGCATGTGTGCTCTCCAGAGAGAGACAGGCAGAGAGGGAGAAAGTGAGAAAGCAACTCTCCACACACTCACCCTCAGGGTATAGACACACTGCAATTCCTTCTCATCCACTTCTCCCTCCTTTTGGGATTTTGGGCATACATGCCTGATGTGTTTTTCAAGCTGCTGGCCCTGAACCACCCTGGGGACTTGAACCACAATGTCAACTTTGTGTGATCCAGCTGCCTTACCCAGCCAATCTACCGGCCATTTTTTATCATGAACCCCTGTCAGTATAAAATATTATGCACATTGTTCCAAATACACATCAATAACTTACATGCAATTTTTTACTCTCTTAGTGTATCTTAAAGTATATTATATACTCTTAGTAATTTCATTAATATTTTTAAATCATTTCAGATACTATTCTGATTATTTCTGAGGGGGGTTTTTTTGCCAGTTTTTTTCTTGTGATCTTTTTAAAAGAATTATTTATTTTATTTATTTATTTTTTTTAATTTGACCAGAGAGAGACAGAGAGAACGGGAAGATAAGAAAGCAAGCTGCACCTACTGCGTGCGACCCAGCCCCAGCAAGTGTTGGCGGCAGTGGTGGCTGCGATCACTACGAGGTGGGCACGCTACCCCGCCATGGTCTCAGCTCCTCCCCGGGCTGCGTGGGTCCTTACCCCGCGGAGCTGGGTGGGCGCCCTGAGTGCGGTGCGGTGCGGGTTCAGTGCACTCCAGGAGCAAGTGTGATCTGGTTTTGGAGTTGGGATTTGGAGAATGCCACGGTATTCATCCGACAGTTGATTGGTCGGGAGTGCTCTGAAGAGAACAAGGGAATACATCTATCATAGGGCACAAGCAACAGGAAGATGAGCCCCATCACATCTGTCCTAACAAACAGGACTGAAGGCAGAGGGAAGCAAGGTGCCATATTGGTGGTAAGAATCATCAGGCAATAGAATGCTCAGTGCTGTCCTGTCTCCTGCTTCCTCTTCAAGAAGCTGAGTCTCTTGGTGGCTGCCATTGATGTTCTCACTGGAATATGATCTCAGCTAAATCTTTGTTGAAGATCTGGAAGGATCAAATCATATTTGTAACCAAAGAAGATGAAAAAACACCAAGCAGTGCAGAACTGGTGTCTGACGACCCTAGTGATAGTACAAGGAGCACGGATTGATCTTGCCAACTAGCAACATTAACTGGAACTCTACGTGCCTTTGGGGAATGGCCAGTGACCCCTGTGGAGAAGAGTTCAAATCAACCTTTTCCTGCTTCCACTACAGCACAGAGGATGTCACATGCTCAGCCGATGTTGACCAGTTCCAGGCCATGCAGGAATACATGCAGAAATACCCAGACCTCTATCCGTAGGAGGAGGAGGAGGACGAGAAGAAGCCAGAAGAACATGTAAGGGAAGCCACTCCCACTGAGGTGATGCCATCCAAAGAAGACGAGGGGTCAAGTTGATGAAGGCGCTTGGCTCCAGTATTTCTGCCTCAAGTGATAGGGACCTTGTACAAAATACCTCTCAGTCACGCTCCAAGGAAGTGTCTCTTATTCCGTGCACTGTAATGTACAAAATAGTTTATTTTGATAATCGGGGAACTTGGCCCTTTGAAATGTACAACGTAAAAACATAGGAGTTCCATGTATTTGTATCCCACATGAATCTGTCAGCAAATGTCACCACACTTGGAATTCTTGTTCCTCAGATTGCCCTGACTTTGCCACTTTGAAATGATGTGCTGAATATTCTTAGTAACCAAAATCATTACCCAGGAGTGTTTTCTTGTAGTGAACTGATCTGATTCACTATATTCCTTTTAGTAGATTCTCTGCCCCTGTGGGAAATGAATAGAAGCAAACATGTTTTTCTTTAAACATACCTGAGTGGGGCTATTCCTAACAGAAGCAGCCAGATGGTCTGATATTAACTCTCAGAACCCATCTCAACCTTGAGTACAAGAGGGGTTCTGTACTTCTTTCCTGACACATTTTGGTTTTCATAATTGTGGTTTTCTAAACGTGAAGGTGGAGGTGTGAACCCTCTGTTTTGCAGTTCCTTTTTAAGTGAAAGGAGCAGCTGGTGTTGCTGTTTGTTGTTTTTCTCTAAACCCTGGGCTGGGGCTCATGTCCACACTGGGTCTCAGCCTGGTGGGCTGCAGTGGTTTCGCCAGGTGGAGAGTGGGGACCTAATTGTTACTAGAGCAGCAGCCAAGAGGAGGCTGTGAGAAGGAGACCCTAGATTAAAAGGAAACATGACTTCTACCTGGAAAAAAAAAGAAAGCTGCCAGGTCCAGGGTGCACTACAGTTGGCCATGTAGGAGTCCAATGCCTTAACCACCATGCCACCTGCTGGCCCCTCTTGTGATTTTTTTTTAACACCTTGTAATGTGGCTGATGAATATAGCTAATACAGGTTATTGTAGCAGTGTTTCTATTTGTTGGGGCCAGCAGGTGGCATGGTGGTTAAGGACATGTCTGTCCTCCCACATATGGGATTCCCCTTAACCTTCGAGCTATCCAACACATTCCACTTCTATGTAACTCTCTGTGACCCTCTGGCATCCAAGACTGGCATGAGTTTCAGTGATATATTAAGTGCAAATGCTTTCATTCCTTTTATCAGTCTAAAGGTAGATGTAAATAAGAATTTAAATATTTTCTTTTTATACCCCAGTTAATTGAGTATTCTAGTCCACTTTGAAGATTAATATCCTAGAGAATCAGGGTATGATATTAACCCTATGGTTACAAACCTCTGAATAAGTGAATGATCTGGTAGGCAGAGAAATAGTGAGCCTGTTTCCCTGTTATCTTGGGGCTCTCATGATGAATATGGAATCTTTCGCCTAAAAATCTTGCTGTCATCCTGCCCTAGATTCTTACTAGTTATTTGGCAGGTAGAATTCCATGTCAACAGTTTCAGTCTCTCTTCACGGGATAGAGAGAGATAGAAGATGAATTTCTATGGTAAGGAAATACAAATCATGAATGATGATGAATACTAGTACTCATCATTTTAGATTAGGGGTGTAAACCGAAGCATTCATAGGAACCACCCTGGTAGAAGAGTGATACATACTGGAAGAAGAATAGTATAGTCATTGAATACTGGCAACTAACATTCATCCTCAAAGTTAAGAGAAGGGGGCATCTGGAAAGCAGGTACCCTTTTTTTTTTTAAACAGATATTTTGCTATAGGGTGCATGCATTTGCCAGAGAGACAGAGACAGAAAGTGAGAAATCACCCCCCAGGGGAAATGGCCACGCTATAGTCCCTTCTCCTCCATTCTCCTCTCAGGATTTTGGGCATGCACACACACATCCGGCATGAGTTTTAAGTCACCAGGTTTGGGACTCAAACCACGGTTGATTACATGGGAGTCCACCAATATAAATATTATGCCATCTGCTGGTCCCATACATGTGCCCTATCTTAAGTGGCATGTGTCACTCCATTCCATCTGATTGCCTCCTTATAAGAATGTAGGATGTTGCCATAGCTTCAGTTTTCTCATACATGCTCAGGAAAAGGAAGAAATCCAGTTTTATGTGTAGTATCATAATGTTAACATTTGTTTTTATTGCCAGAGGCTATATGTGCTCATCCCAGAGAGAACCTGCAATTCATTTTCCTTCGTTTCTGGGTCCTGGCAGAACCAAGCATATTTACAGATGTGATTCAAACTGTGGTAGGCCATGTGTAATTCAGTGTCCTTAATCCCTAAACTACAGGGCCAAACCCTGATATTAAAATATTGACAACAAACTCACATTTGTTTTAATACTGGAAAGACTACATAGTGGGGATGCTGAGTTTACCCAGTGGGTTGCCAGCATATAACTTTCAGTCTATAATAGATCAAAATGGCAGTATAGAGAGAAGTGAGATGGTTGGATAGTTTACCCTCCAATTATTTTATACTCCCTTTAAAATAAAATGTGTATATTGTTTATTTTTCTGTAAGATAAATACCAGGATTTGCATTTGCTATGTCCCAACCCTTCCATCAGTAGGCACTGAAAATCCTGAACAAGACCAAGTGCAACAACATGAAGGTCTAGCAAGGGGGCAGGAGAGACAATGGTCTTGAAAGTAACACACTATAATGTAGTATACCATTTATTTACTAATTTTTGCATTGATTAGGAAATTATTTGTTTTTTTTTAATGTGTAACATAAGATAACACGAGGAAATTCTTATGGTAGAGTTAAAATATAATAGAATTAATAATGCCTGTGGTGGCTCAGCAGAAGAATGAAGGGTTCTAGCAGTTGGATAGATTCTTAAAAATTGAACTAATTAGAGAATGGGGGGACCAGCAGTTAGTGTAATGGCTATGTCGCTGGACTCCCATGTAGTCGACCACGGTTCACGTTCCGGACCCGGTGGCTTAAAACTCACGCCGGGCACGTGTGCGTGAATGCCCAAGATCCCGAGAGGAGAATGGAGGAGAATGGGTGACCATTGTTGCTATTTTTTTCTTGCTCTTTGTAAAAACATACTGGTGTATTTGATCCATTTTCCTGTAGTTTTCCACTTGCCCAATTTTTTTGATATATAAATAGTATTACAGTGGACATTCTTTGTCTCTCAGTACACATAAACAGGACTTTTCTCTTTTAGTACACATGAGTAGGTCTTTTCTCTTAGATATGTACTAGTAGACCCTTTGTGGTATTATTATTTTTTTAAAATTTATTTAATTTGACCAGAGAGGTACAGAGCAAGAGCGAGAAAGAGAGAGAGAGGGAGGGAGGAAAAGTGAGAAAGCAAGCCACCAGTTCCAGGACTTGAACTGTGGTTGACCATGTGGGAGTCCATTACCCTTAACTGCCATACCACTTGCCGGCCCCCTGTAATATTACTTTTATTACAGATATTTCCATCTGCTTTATAGCTTGTTTTATATTAAAAAGCTGACTTTTGATTTTTTTTATCTTTTTCAGAAATTGAATTAATACTCTTACAATTAATGCTGATTATTTATATGTGAGAATGCATGTGAGAAAGAGAAAGCATCTGCCAGCATAGTACAGTCATGCTGCAATTCCCTTTCTTCCATATCTCCATCCTGTCAGGATCCTTGGGTACATGTATTTGTGCCCAGCATTTTTTTCAGGTTATCAGGGCTGAGACTTGAACCCTGGTCAGCCATGTGGTCTCTAGCCTCCTTGGCACAGTACTTAACCATTATATAATGGGACCAGTCTGTTTAGTGCCTTTTATAACACGTGCTTCAAGAAATTTTTCCTTACATATAGTCAAAGGTTTTATTTTCCATTGTCAATAAAATTTTTAAGGGCTTAGGCTGGCCCCATAGCCAGTAGTTAAGGGAGCTGGAGCTTTCGTGTCCAGTAGATCAAATCCAGTCCCATCAACTTGAAAAACATACCTGGCGTGTGCACAGGTGTGCCCAAAATCCTGAAAGGAAGCAGAAATGGAGAAGGGATTGTGCTGTGATCATGTCCCATTGAGTGTGCTTTCTCCCACACACACACTCTCTGCTTCTCTCTGGTGAGTGCATGAACCCTCTGGCAATTAGAACTTATTTTCAAAGTCTTAACTTTTTACATTTAAGTCTGTAGCTTATCTGGATCATTTATTGAACAGTTT